GAAGATTTCTCCTCCAAATCCCCGATGGCGTCGGAAGAAACATAATTTTCAGTTTTTAGAGTAAAAAAAATTAATTGATAGAAAAATAACTTGGCCACTTTGTATACAGCAAAGCAGGAAATTTTAAACCGCATTGACTCGGCGGTTGATGGCACTGCAATGTGTGGTAAAAGCGCTGGTATCGGATTTGTGATGCAACTCAAACACTTGTCTCATAAGATAGGTCGATAACCTCTACTTCCGTCATTGCTATGTTACCGCGTCCGATGATCGTGCAAGAAGATTAAATAAGGAAGTTCTGTCTATTAAAAAATATTAAACATGATATATATTTAGTATACCAATTATAAGCACTAAAAACGTATCAGTTCTTAGCCTTATAATCTATAATATTATACATTGTCTATATATGAAAAAACGGACACAATAAGAAATGACGTAGAACTCTGGAAAATACATGAGAGGGAACAAACAATCTTTGCACAGAGGAAAGACTGTATATCAGCTGAATGTAACGTTACCAACGCGTTAAAATCTTTAAAATATATTCATATGTAAATAATCAGTTTTTGGATTTGTAACGGAAAAATAATCTATTCAGAATTCGCGCATTCCAAAAAATAATTTGTTCAGAATTAAAATACAAAAATAAAAGATACCAAGCCCGTGAGGTCGCACCTCTTCGTGTCAGAAGATCTTTTGGACTACAATCACTACCCAGCTCAGAATAACCTAACGCCGGACGCTCTCAGAAGAGTTGTTCTGAAGAATACATTCTTTCAATGAATTGTTATCAGGAGACGTATTAAAAAATGGCATATTTGCCAACTCCTATCCTTACAACAAACCTTTAATTTTTATAGATTTATATTAAAATACAATTTTGAGATTGAAATTATCCTCCAGAAGGAATTATCCCATTAGCACCGTACATGCTAAACATAACAAAAGTTTCCTATAAGTCGATAAATATTCCAAGGGCTGGCAACACTGACGATGAAACTTTTCTTTCCGAGTTATCCAAACTTGTAACTGTAAATAGCGGCATCTGAGCGATAGTGACCTGGCTTTCGTCGTCTGGGTATATGGACCGTCGGATTGGCGTGACATTTAGCTGTCATCGCTGCTGCATTACTGCATGGCACTAGAGCACGTGATTCGCGCGGGCACCGCTAGAACGCAGCCCTAAAAAATCAAAAACACGTTTTTGGAAATTTCGTTGAATCTTCTGGACGTATCCGCCAAAAAATCTTCAATTTCCCACCAGGAGATCAGACGGTGGCGGAAGGACGGTGAAGACCAGATGGTGGTGGACGGGAAGTGGTCTAACCATGAGTGACGGACCCATGGGCAGATGGAGAGGACAGATTACTACTTATTTCCTTAATTACTCGATGTTTCGTAACATATTTAGTTACATCTTCAGGTTACTAAAATTATGTGAATACAGAAATCAATTAAGTATTTCAAATGTAAACCTGAAGATGTAAATAAACATGTTACGAAACATCCTGTAATTAATGATTGCTGATAGTAACGGATTGACATTAAAATATTGGTTATATATAT